ACTCAGAGCCAAACCCGGCAAGAAAACCACCTCGGAACTGGATTCCCAGTGGTCAAACTGGCCTCTGTCGGTCTCAGAGGCTGTACTTGGTTCCGGTCTGGCTGCCGTGTTCACACACTGAGAGCTGGATCTACAATCTGCTTATAGTTATCCCTAAGAGTAATCCCCAATTTTACATAATGTACCTGTAATCTGATTACGTCTCTTTTTTCTGTACTGTAATGGAATACAGTCACAGTTTTTGTATCCTGATTACGTAACACCGTTATATGTAATCCGTTATTCCCCTGCATGCAGTTTGAACACATGCACAGTGAGAACAGGGATGTTGGTCGGCAGGTAGTGAACTCTACGCTGTAAAGCCGTCAGAGAGCAAATAAGAGGATTTAATGGAGAAAGTGTCAGTAGTCGTGTTTCCATCAAACTTTTTTTATGCACATTTTGAAGTATCACGTTAGAAAGGTTGATGGAAATGGCAAAATAAAAATAAATAATACTTCCTTAATTTCAGGCCAGCAGAAACCAGCAGATGGAAACATGTCTAATTCGCATTTTCACGTCCACCATTAACCTGGACTATGTGTGTTTGTGTGTGCGTACCATCCGCCATCTTGTATTTCTCCGACAGAAGTCTTGCCTGGTTACTCTTCCCTGCCCCTGGTGGACCAAACAGGAGGATTCTGGGAGTTCTGGAGCGATGACGAGTCCGGACGAAAGCCAGCACTGACACACAGACACAGACACAAACGATATTAAATATCAGGACAGTGAAAAAAGAGCGAATCCCCCACATGATTACTGAAGGGAAGTGAGAGTGTGAATATAAAAGTGAGTCGTCTGCATATCTGAGGAGATCTGACCACAAACAGGAAGACTAAGGAGAGAACTGGACACAATTTGAACCAGAACTCTGAGGTACCCGTATCAAACGTACAGAGTGATGTCTGATAGTTTTAGTTAAACAAATACAGGCTTGTTTCTGTGCGTCACTACCTTGTTGGTACACGTCAGTGTGCGGTTGGTCGGCGTTGATGACCTTCAGGACGTGCTGATAGGCTGAGGTCAGACCTGTGACTTCACGGCGGTAACGCTGCAACTCAGCCAATTGCTGCTTCTCTGACAGGCCCCTCCCCTCTTCCAGACGCTGAGCGACAGCGCCATCGGCCGGCCAGATGAAGGTCCGATGGTACACGTCTGCAGACAGGAAGTGAGGTCATGCGTTATTACAGTGCAGTGTCACAGCTTTTCCTGGATCGTTCACCACCACAGTGCTGGACCTCATCATGTGTTCGCCTCCTGTTCAACACGCTGAGACATCATGTGTGATGTCAAACGACACAAATATACTTCCGTCTTCTTAGAACTTGGAGCTTTCAGTAAACTCCACTTCCCATGTTGCACCTGTCTCTGTGAGTGAAGTGGACTCACCTCCTGTCAGTGGGTCGACCAGTTTCCCCTGACTCCTCTCCAACAACACATCATCTGGAGCGTCCAACATCACTACACACACACAGTATACTTCAGTGATATATATGCAGTATTTATACTTTATACACAGTACATGACCTCTGAGCTCATATTTTGTTCTCACCAACATGTTCAGGGATGACTCCGGCCTGCTGGAGACTCAGAGCCTCCAGACGAGTTTGAGGGACCCCCTCCAACACCCAGCCCTGTAACACACACACTCACACGTTTGACCCTCTAGCCCTGTGGGGACGTCTCATTAGCCATTTTAGCTAATTGTCAAGCAAATTTTAACGTCTAAAATGTTGCACAAAAAAGTGACAATGTGAATTAGGCGTGTTTCTATAAACTAAAAGTAGAGGTTGCAAACCAGAAAATAAATCAATCACATGGATCTGAGAAAAATAGAGAGAGGTCTTCAGGAATGTTTCAGCTGGGCAAGTAGCTACTAGCCACGTTTTTATGAAGTATAGGAATATTTGAGAAGACGCCGACAGTGGAAACAGCTGATCAGTCGTGCGAGGTAAATGTTCACTATGTCAAAACTTATTCAGCAAAGATATTTCCATCTCCTGTTCAGTGCATAACTTTGATTCCAAAAAGACAAAATAACACCTCACGCGAGGAGGTGAGAGGAGCTGCAGAGGATGAACCCTTCAGGCGTTAGAAGGTGAGTTCAACATGACTCCGGCTGACTTTCCCTGATCTGACCTGTCAAACGTGAGCTGCGAAGACAAAGATCAGGACACGAGATCAGGACAAAAAGGTGGTTCCAACCTGGTGCAGCCGGAGAAAAGCAACTGCGGTCGCCTTGCTTCCGTGAGGTTTTAATGTCATGTGACATGGTGATGTTTTGCAGTGCCGGCGAAAGTCGGACAACATTTCTAACCAGCATGCATCATGTTATGATTACTGATGATGTTTCCTTCAGCGCCACCCTCAGGACAAACTTCTACATGCAGGACTCTGAAGGTGTGTTCAAACAGGCGTCATCCAAAGTGAGATTAACGTGAATGTGCTCAGGGTGACGAGTCCAGAGATCAGAGGCTGAACACAACACTTTCTTCCTGTTTTCTCCAGAATCATGAGTTTTTGTGGCACGGCATGGAAACGCTGGCTGGACGTCTGCGGTCTGGAAGGACAGAAAGGTTTTCACTGCTGATGCTCAGCCCTGAGGATCCGAGTCATTGCGGATCATCAGGGCTGAGATTATTGATCTCACGGGCCGGTGAGAGGCAGCGGAAGGTGGATGGGACAGGCCACAGCCCGGTCAGTAAAAACCTCAGTGAACTCCTGAAGTCTCTTCAGGACATCTAGAACATCCTGAAGGACTCCTGAAACTACCTTAATAAGGGCCCCTTGAACATCCATGAGGACTGCTGGTGTTCTTGTGTTGACTGTTTAAAAGACGCTGCAGTGTTTGACTCTGCGTGAGCTGAACTTCCAGCTGCTCGTTAAAGTCCGTCTCTGACTGAGGCTGACAGCAGCTGGATCCTCTGCTCTCTGCTGTCTGACTCTCTCAAGAACACCGTTTGTTTAAAGCGGAGCTGCGGCAGTCTCACTCAGACTTTCTGACACGGTAATCCCTCAGTGCTGCCTGCCAGGCTGAATAAAGACGACTGACAGCAGCCCTGACACACACACACATCTGACAGGCTGTGTGTGCGCCGGATGAACTGCTGTCTGCTTTAGTTCACTGGCTGTGAACAGTTGATCAGTTGCCGTGTTAAAGATATTGATTATCCTGTTTTACAGCCGTCTCCTTTCTAATGGAGGTCTATGCAGTACACCGTCTGTGGGCCGCAGTCATTTTGTGGCCACTGGGACAAACTGCCAGCAAGGCAGAGTGGCGACAGTAATGTTGTACTGATACAGTATCAGAAAAGGCTATCGACAGGGTTGTTAACGAAACTAACAAAAACCAGGTGTGCAGAACATTTTCATTATTGTCTGTTTGCAAAACTAACTTAAATAAACTAAAGTTACAGAGTAAAGGTCTTTAGTTTTGTGTCAATTCATTTCAAAGGGTCTACATTAGTCTAGTACTTTGGGTGGATATGATATCGGGTGGAAAAGACATTGGGGGGCAGCTGGTCTGACCGGACCATTAACTGATAGGTAGCTAATATGCTTTTGTCCTCGGCATGAGGAGCTGGCCCGCTGCATGTCCAGTGGCTGTCCTGCACCATGTGAGGGAATCTGAAATAGGGCGTTTTTGCTTTGTTCATCAGGACAGCTGGAGTCAGAGTGGCATCTGGACCGCTGTTACAAGACCCTCTTAAGAGAGTGCTCATGTAACGTTACGGAAAACTTAGTCAGTAGGGGTCTGCTGCGTAGCTGCTGCGTTTTGAACATGTTTTCTAATAATAATGATGTTTGGTTTGTTTGTTGCAGGTAATGGGTCGCTGTCTTGGTGGTTTTCTTTTCTTCTTTTGGCCTGGTGCCCACCCTGTGTGGGGGGTACATGTAGTATATTGATTGACATGTCTGCTGATTAATATATTTACTGCACTTCAGCTGGTGTGTGTGTGTTATGGGGTAACACATCTCAGCCAACCTGTCTCGTTGTGCTTCACACAGTTTTAATCACAGGACCTCTTTGTGGGTTAACAAAGGTTTAGATTTTAATATAATACTTGTCTTCTGGGTGTTGGGGACGTGTTGTCTGTGGTTCGAGGGGAGATAAAGCATGTTCAATTTCTAAGCTGTGCTAGTTTTTAGTCCCCGCCCCTCGCCTGGCATCGTGGTGGCAACAGTCGGGAGAAATCAGCCCATATTACTAAAAAAAACTGAATCCGACACTGAAACTAATTAAACCTTAAAAACGAATCTCAACCAAACTGAAATTGAAAACAAAAAGTCAAAACAAAATAAAACTGTAATAACCTTGGTCTCAGGTGTCAGAACATCACACAGAGAACATCTTAAGGACAAGGACAAGTCATCCCGATAGTTACACAGCAACACGTCCATCCAGTGTGGACGTTCAAAACAGATCCAAACACCTTCAGACGAGGTCAAACAACAAGTCGGACGATATGTTTTTTCCACAACTTCATCGTCTCAGTGACAGCTCCATCTGTTGAGGAAGACCCTGGGATGTAGCTGAAAGCTTTGGAAACACAGTAAGTGGACGTTGTGCTGGGAAGTTTTCTGTCTGACAGTAAAGGGAGAGTTAAACAGACAGTCAGGCAGCGAGACAGGTAAAGTATTTAATGTGACAGGAGGAGGCGGGGTCCTGATGGGCACTGTCAATCATCCTCCTCTCCTCCGTTCACACCGACAGACAGAAGATAAACTCACAGTCCCTGGTGTGTGTGTGATGAGTTTAGCCTGCGGCCAAAAACAGCCAATGGCAGATGAAAGCAGCTGTTAATATCACACACACGCACACACACACACACAAACACTGAAACAGTAAATGCTACAATGAAGCTAAATGCTGGAGGACAAAAGAAGCAGCTGTTTTTAGAGTTCAGAGGAATTGACAAATGCTGGTTTATAATGGCCATACACTGTAGCACACTGTAACACACTGTAACACACTGTAACACACTGTAGCACACTGTAACACACTGTAGCACACTGTAACACACTGTAACACACTGTAACACACTGTAACACACTGTAGCACACTGTAGCACACTGTAGCACACTGTAACACACTGTAGCACACTGTAACACACTGTAACACACTGTAACACACTGTAGCACACTGTAGCACACTGTAGCACACTGTAACACACTGTAGCACACTGTAGCACACTGTAACACACTGTAGCACACTGTAACACACTGTAACACACTGTAGCACACTGTAACACACTGTAACACACTGTAGCACACTGTAACACACTGTAACACACTGTAGCACACTGTAACACACTGTAACACACTGTAACACACTGTAGCACACTGTAACACACTGTAACACACTGTAACACACTGTAACACACTGTAGCACACTGTAACACACTGTAACACACTGTAGCACACTGTAACACACTGTAACACACTGTAACACACTGTAACACACTGTAGCACACTGTAGCACACTGTAGCACACTGTAACACACTGTAGCACACTGTAACACACTGTAACACACTGTAACACACTGTAGCACACTGTAGCACACTGTAGCACACTGTAACACACTGTAGCACACTGTAGCACACTGTAACACACTGTAGCACACTGTAACACACTGTAACACACTGTAGCACACTGTAACACACTGTAACACACTGTAGCACACTGTAACACACTGTAACACACTGTAGCACACTGTAACACACTGTAACACACTGTAACACACTGTAGCACACTGTAACACACTGTAACACACTGTAACACACTGTAGCACTCTGTAACACTCTGTAACACACTGTAACACACTGTAACACACTGTAGCACACTGTAACACACTGTAACACACTGTAACACACTGTAACACACTGTAACACACTGTAACACTGTAACACACTGTAACACACTGTAACACACTGTAACACACTGTAACACTCTGTAACACACTGTAACACACTGTAGCACACTGTAACACACTGTAGCACACTGTAACACACTGTAACACTCTGTAACACACTGTAACACACTGTAACACACTGTAACACTGTAACACACTGTAACACACTGTAGCACACTGTAACACACTGTAGCACACTGTAACACACTGTAACACACTGTAACACTCTGTAACACACTGTAGCACACTGTAGCACACTGTAACACACTGTAACACACTGTAACACTCTGTAACACACTGTAACACACTGTAACACTCTGTAACACACTGTAACACTCTGTAACACACTGTAACACACTGTAACACACTGTAACACACTGTAACACTCTGTAACACACTGTAACACACTGTAACACACTGTAACACTGTAACACACTGTAACACACTGTAGCACACTGTAACACACTGTAGCACACTGTAACACACTGTAACACACTGTAACACTCTGTAACACACTGTAGCACACTGTAGCACACTGTAACACACTGTAACACACTGTAACACTCTGTAACACACTGTAACACACTGTAACACTCTGTAACACACTGTAACACTCTGTAACACACTGTAACACACTGTAACACACTGTAACACTCTGTAACACTCTGTAACACACTGTAACACTCTGTAACACACTGTAACACTCTGTAACACTCTGTAACACACTGTAACACTCTGTAACACTCTGTAACACACTGTAACACTCTGTAACACACTGTAGCACTCTGTAACACTCTGTAACACACTGTAACACTCTGTAACACACTGTAGCACACTGTAGCACACTGTAGCACACTGTAACACACTGTAACACACTGTAGCACACTGTAACACTCTGTAGCACACTGTAGCACACTGTAACACACTGTAACACACTGTAGCACACTGTAACACACTGTAACACACTGTGGCACACTGTAACACACTGTAACACACTGTAACACACTGTAACACACTGTAGCACACTGTAACACTCTGTAACACTCTGTAACACACTGTAACACACTGTAGCACACTGTAACACTCTGTAACACTCTGTAACACACTGTAACACTCTGTAACACACTGTAACACACTGTAACACACTGTAGCACACTGTAACACTCTGTAACACTCTGTAACACACTGTAACACACTGTAGCACACTGTAACACTCTGTAACACTCTGTAACACACTGTAACACTCTGTAACACTCTGTAACACTCTGTAACACACTGTAACACACTGTAACACTCTGTAGCACACTGTAACACACTGTAACACACTGTAGCACACTGTAACACACTGTAACACACTGTAGCACACTGTAACACACTGTAACACACTGTAACACACTGTAGCACACTGTAACACTCTGTAACACACTGTAGCACACTGTAACACACTGTAACACACTGTAACACTCTGTAACACACTGTAACACACTGTAACACACTGTAACACTCTGTAACACACTGTAACACACTGTAACACACTGTAGCACACTGTAACACACTGTAACACTCTGTAACACACTGTAGCACACTGTAACACACTGTAACACACTGTAGCACACTGTAACACACTGTAACACATTGGACAAACTGTAACACACTGTAACACACTGTAACACACTGTAACACACTGGACAAACTGTAAAACACACCATAACAAACTGTACAACACTGTAAAACACACTGTAACACACTGGACACACACAAACACAGTTACAGTCACCACTGAAACCTGGTAAAGGACCCATAGAATTACCTCCGTGACCACTAGAACCTCCTATAGGAACACAAACAGGACCCAGTGACTCTATGACTGCAAAACCTGCAAAAGGAGCACCAGAACCACCTCAACGACCACTAGAACCTGCTAAAAGTAAGCTAGAACAAACTACAGAACCCCTGGCACCTGTTCAAAGACCCCAAGAACCTCCTCAATAACCTCTAGAACCTCCTATATGACCTTCAGAACCTCCTTAATATCCTAAACACCTGCTAAAAGCACATTTAAACCGCCTCGTTTCCCCTTTAGTCTGTGAATGTGTTTTATTGTCTAACAGCAGAGCAGTTAGTGTGAAGGTATCTGAACAGAGGGCAGACGTTCAATCAGGCAGATAAGCGCAGTTGTGAGCCTCAGTTTGTGTTGTTGTTGTTGTGAGAGTATTGCTGACAGCAGCTTCATTTTCTTTAATTCTCCTAAACGGATCAGAAAGCAGCGCTCGGTGTCCTGATGAACGCTGACAGGAAACAGGACGTGATGCTAATGAGGAGCAGCAGAGAGGACGAGCCCGAGTGAAAATAACACGCGTGATGTGACAGCAGCGCGTCTGTTTGATCAGCCGGTCTCCGGGGAGACGCGCCAACACGCTGCTCGGCCCGCTGGGAATCGTAGTACGACACAGCGGCGACCAGAGCGCTAATTATTATCATCACAGCAGCACATCAGAGACTGAGAGAGAGACAGACAATGAGAGGGACAGACAGCTGATCAGATAATTTACCGGCTGTTTAAACAGACGCTAAAACTCTTCACAGGTTTACTGAGAGACTGGATTTCACATCTCTGGAAAGTTCTCACACAGAAATCATTTTATCCTCCGTCTGCACCATCAGCAGCTTCGTAGCAGAAACACACCATTACGCCTCTGTTTAAATGTAAACCATCAAAAATCATGTTCGACTGTTGTTAATTCTTTGTTTGAGGGGTGGGGAGGACGCCTGCAAACCAAAACCCCTTAAGGGAGTTTGATTTTAACATGTAAACGAAGCATACTGGGTCCTCTTTTAACTATTCCTCACTGTTATCGTGTCTGGTTTCAGCCTCGAAGACGTGACGGCTGCAACACTGCGTTTACTTTAGTGATGATCTAGCTGGGATGGGGATCACGTCGTACACTAACATGTTCTGTTTGATATTAAAGACTGTGGCTATAACTTATTTATGAAATCATCCATTACTGTTGCTTTTTTCCTTTTTACTGTTTCTTGTCTTGTATTAATAACATGTTTTAGTGTTGTCGTTATTTTTTATAGTTTTTGCCATTGTTATCTTTCGTTTCTTTTGGAAAGCCCTTTGCTTTTCTTATGAATTACCATACCATGTGACCTGACTCAGGGGTCTGTTCACAACGCTGCTACGACATAATTTTCTAGGACAACACAAGAATTTCCAGGACATTATACTTCTTCTCTTATTTTCCATGTTTTCCAGGACGCATGGCAACCCTGTTAAATTACTCTTCAGCGTTTCCCCTAGGATGGAGTTGTAGCGCAGGGGGAGAATTTGTTTTTGTGTGCTTGCAAAGTTTATATCTGGACATAACAGAGAATTTATATCCGTGGAATTCATTTATATTTATACTTTATTCATACATATTTCTTTACCTACCAAATTCTATTACTATTTCTATTCTTTATGATGTGTGCAACTGTGACACAAGAATTTCCTCTGGGGTATTTCTGATTCAGACGGCTCAGCATCGAGCCGTTTCGGATCTGACCTCCTAATAACAGCAGGAAAACCTGTTAATATGACCTCAGATAAATTCTAGACTGTTCATGTTTGCTTTTTGTGTCATTACAAATGTTGATAAAAAACAGGACACATGAGAACCACCTCCCTTCTGAAGAATCACCAGGCGTTATTGTGCCTTATATTGTTACTACGCCTTACGTAATATCATATTGGAACAGTATAAGAGAGAGTGTGCCCTGGGATAAAGTGTGGTCATTACCCTTTAAATATCTGCTTACTAAAAATTAAATTGATTCACCGGTTCTACCCAGTAAAATCTTTAAAAAGATATAGACTGAATATTGAAACTGTTCCTTCTGTAAAGCTGCAGAGGAAAATAATTCCCGTTTATTTTGGAACTGTCACCCTGTCTTTAAGAACTAGGTGCATTTATGGACTCCATAAAATAATCATAAACCTGCAAAGCTCAAAGGACTGATGCTGGAACCGAGAACTCAAGTTGCAGCTTTACCCTGGATGTTAAATTATTTCTGTACTCCTGGAGAATGAAATGTTGTACGTATGTGCTGACATTTTCAGTAAAAAATAAAACAAAAGCTGGTGGTAGCTGAGAGGCGGGTGAAGGTGAGAGCCGAACACAGCTTTACCCTGTTGAAGCAGTCGATCTCGTTCAGCCTCTGTTGAATCAGGCGGACCAGCAGCTCAGCAGGAACCTCCTGAACAAACACACAAAGGTTCAGGTCAGCTGGCGGAAACAGCTGTGAATCAAGGTTCGCCGTGTCCAGAAGAGTCGGTTCAGTAAACGAGTAAAACTACATGGACCTCCTTCCTCGGACTGTTCTGATATTTATAGTACTTTGAACGGCGGCGCTCACAGCTGCACCTGTTCTCAGGACCGACTGCAGCCCAACACTCAGGGCTTCGGTTTGAAAGATGTTAGAGAAGAAGAAGTGTCTCTTTGAACGCTGCCGTCACGCTCTCATTATTACCGTGTCGACTCAGCGGTTTGCATGACGGTAATCACAGTGAGCGCCGGCTGGGGGTCGGAGGTCGCAGAAACTGAACAACGCGCGTGTGTGTGTGTGTGTGTGTGTGTGTACCTGCTCTGCCAGTGTGTACTGGCGGGCCTGGATGCTCAGCTCTGATTGGTCCTGCAGTAAACCTTCTGCAGTCACGTGAACAGCTCTCAGCTCTGCACTCAGCTTCCTGGCCTGAAGGAAGACAACCACAGAAGAAGAAGAGACTCTTCATCGCCGCTCTGACGTTGGTTTGGATTCTTCCTCGTTGGTGTTCACACCGAGAGGTTTAATCGCGACTGAGGAAACTCACCACTGAGTGTTTCCCGACAGCTGGAGGGCCGAGCAGCAGGACCCTGGGAACTGACCGAGAGGAGAGAGGGTCAGAATCTGAGGGCTCCACTCAGAGGTCACTAGATGTCGGGTCTCTTTGTGTCGTTGCTTACAAAGCAACAACATGTTTCTAACGAAAAGATTGAAAATGCACTCACAATGTTTCCCAACACATCCTCACCCCCAACTCGTCCCATACGAGAAGGGCAGAGTTAGCAAGAATAAATATGCAGCGTCTGGTTAGACTTTGAAAAGAAACGTACGTTAACGTCGTGAAAGGTCACAATTTGGTTCGATTTAGGTTAAAAAAAACTATGTTACATAGTCTGGATCCCTCAATGAACTCCAGACCTGAACCCTACTGATCCTCAAACGGAAGGACGTCCAGCAGCTGCGTGATGTCAACCTGTGAAGCTCTCGGAGTTCACCAGAGGCAAAATAATGGTGGACACTTTGCGCCCAGTTTGGACATTTTCCCTCAGGGGCGTCCTCACTGTTTAGACATTAACGGCTGTGTGATGTTATTCTGAGGGGGCAGCAGTGTCATTTCTTCAGTGTCGTCACATGAAAAGATAGAATCAGATATTTACAAAGATGTGAGATCATCACTCTTATCCTGTATATCTTTTTTTCATTAGTATTATAATGTTATTTGGACATTTTTGATCTCTTTAATTCATCTATATGTTCTAAAGCACCAAAATATCTTACCAACATATTTACCTGGCAGCAAACTTCACTCTGATTCTGAAACTTACGTAGGATAAACAACGTGACTTAAATAACAACATTTAAAGTCTAACAGACAGATTCTGAGAACGTCTTCAGTGAACCGATGCCCTGATGTTTCGGGGGCCAGAGAACCAGGATCACACTGGATAATGTCGGACACAGCAGGCTGTAATCATTTACATGAACGTGTCTGGAACACCAAAGAGAAGGAGGGTCTCTGAAAGGTCTTTACTGATTTGACGGCTGTGGAGTCACAGCTCCCTCTGGTGGCTGCAGACGCGTTTGCCTCATCAGTGTGTGACAGTTTAACATGAGACCCGACAGCAGCAAAGAATCTGCGCGTGGCGTCCAGCAGCTGTGAGGAGATCAAGCCGACACGCTTCCTTCGTTTCGTTTGAACCTCCAGGAAGGAACTTGCAAAGGTTAGAGAACTGTAAATAAATCAAACGATTCAATCCAGGGGCCTCGGGCCCCCAGTTAAGAACCTCGCTCTAACAGTAGTCGTGGTAACTTACTGTCCACGCTGCTCCTCTGCAGCAGACGGATCAGGTAACCGATCGGATCTTCAGGCTGATCGATCATCAGACCGGACAACAAGCTCTGAAACACACACACACACACACACACACACACACACACACACACACACACACACACACACACACACACACACACACAGCCTCAGCGTGTCCACCTGTCTGCAGCTTCAAACTGTAAAGACGGTCCTGCGGTACCTGCACCAGGCGGAAGACGTTGTGTTTGTCAGCGTAGACGGACATCTGAGGAGGAATCCTCAGCGGCTTCACCGTCTCATCCATCAGGGCGAGGAGGACGAGGAGGAGGAGGAGGAGGAGGAGGAGGAGGAGGACGAGGAGGAGGAGGAGGAGGAGGAGGAGGAGGAGGAAGGCCGGGGCTCTGACAGCAGAGATGCTGGTCAATCTTTTTCCTGAGGACCGTGAACGCATCACATTTAGAAACTCCAGCACAGCAACAGACGACAACACATAAAGATCCTGGTCCTGGTCCGAGCACATGAATCCTGTCCAAAGACTCTGAGGTCTCACTCAGATCCACGTCAGTAACTCTGACCATAATGATGCTCGTTTATCTATCTAATGTGGTTTAATGTGGTTTACATGTAGAAAAACATCTGCTTTTGTTTCATTTTCACAATCTGAACCCTGGACTTTAAATCCAGTCCAGGTTTGAAAGGTAGCGGCTTTTGATCTGGATTCTGGAGCAGGAGGGAAACAAGCTGCCAGCAGAAAACAAAGTCATGAATTTGCAACGTCTGAACATTTGTTGTCAGTTTAAAAGCTTCTTTATCTCACCGTCACCTTCTGCTGCTCCGTGAACCGGTAACCGCTGGAGAACAACGCGGGAGGAACTCACCTGTCACCTGCTGCTCAGCTGCTCAGCGGGTTGCTAAGAAGCGTGTTTCTTGTTGTTAGGGAAGGACGTCACCAACGCGCGTGCGCAGTGAGATCGGGATACCCGGCGTCTCCTAGCAACGCCGCGCAGACGCACAAACAGGAAGAGGATCTAAGAAAACAAACATCTGACTTCCGGTCCGTTGTTATCTTCTTTTACTCATTATTTTATACATAATTAATATATATAGTGCATATTATATAGCAATATATGTACACTGTATATACAAATATAATATTAATATATACTTTGATATAGTATTTATAAATTGTATTATACATAAATGTAATAATTTATTGATTTTATATATATCATTATTTTATGTCCTGCACTTTGATCTAATGGCAAATGCAAGTAGTGTCGACTGAGACCAAGACCAGTTCCCCACATTATACAGAATAAAATATGGAACGAGATCAGAGGTGCTTCTCAGACTGATCTGAAAAGATCCACATTCCCATTAAAACACCCACATCCAAACACTGAAAGCTGAAGTCAACGTCAGCGTCTTTATTCAACGCTCCTTTTCCATGTTACACATTTTTAATTAGGGTTATTGGTTGAGTTTGAAGCAACAAGTTTTACATCCAATCAAAGTTAAGATGTTAACGAATAAATCAGACAATGCAAAAGCAATTTATTGATACTCCCAAAGTTATGGTCTTGAAATAAAATCCAGAGTCCTTAATGTCCGAGACCATCAAAAGGTGGTCAAAGACCGGTCTCGAGTACACTAAATTCAAGATATTTAAATTAAAATAATAATAAAAAAACAGTGAAAAGCATTTACCCCCTCCCTAAAACTGCACTGAGCCACAAAGTTTAATGATTAAAATCCTTCAGAAATCTTTTTGTTTCTTTGCGTGTGACTTTCTATCCAATTCATGCTATTTTTTGCTTCATCACAAGTTCATAATCTTTGTGATCAAATACACATTTTTGTTGTGTCCCCAGGTTTACGCCCCCAAAAAGTCTCTTTTCTTCAGAGTTGATGATATTGTGACTGATGACCGAGAAGGTCAATGATAACGTTTATTTCTGTTATCAAATTATTTCTTAGAATTTTTGGTTTCATTTGAAAAATACAAATTTGTGGTAAATCACTAGAATGTGCTCAGTGTCCTGCCATGTGGCTGTATTTTATTTTTTACTTTGTATTTGCTATAAACTCAAATACACTGGCTCCACCTCCGCAGGCTCCAGAGCGGATCTGTCAGATCCTTCAGGGGCAGGTTTTAAAATCCTGAGTGAAGATGTGAAACTACATACCTGCACTTGCTATAAATTTGTTTAGTGTATTTGAATATTTCTGCATATTGTTAACCAAAGTTCATTCCTGTTAATAAATTGTTTTTGAAAAAATAAAAATTAAGATAAACCACATTTTTTTTCACTTAAGTTTGGTCCATCATTTAACCAGTTGCTAAATAAATTACAGGATAAAAACTTTGATGACCCTTTTAAAAAATGTTTTAAATAAGTTTCCAGAGAGACCAATAAACATTTTAAATAGTTGAACGTGTTTCAAAAAACAAAAACATAAGTTTTATTTGTAAGAGTCACATTCAGTTGAAGGGCCCTCTGATGATACATCGGCGTATTGTAGGAACAAAAACGGAGCCTGGAGAGGAGGTTTAATATTCTGAGATAAAGTCATACATCTACGAGGAAAAACTGCAGGAAAGTACTTATTAAATTATCTGAGTACTGCTTCCACCAGTGTCACCAGGTTCTCTTCAGAACTGGACGATATCAGCCGGGAACCTGAGCGGACTGTTTGGTGTCAGCCTGTTTTTAAAAGTTCAATATCAAGAACTAATCAGGACCCAAAGATCAGACAAGTCTTTATTTCTGTGTCTCCAGGTTTGTTATGCTCGAGCTGTTTCCTGGCAGCAGATCTCTGAAGCAACAAGGCGCCAGAAGGAAACACCAACCGCCCCGAGATGAGATCCTCAGAGACTGATTGGTTCACGTTGAATCAGCTGGACGTCCCACAGAGGACAAGGGGGACTCTTTGGTCTGAAACTGATCCCCGTCTGTTTTTGTCAGTTTGACGTTTCCTTCTGAGAGTCAGGCTCAACACGTCCTGTTTTCTCATCTGACTCCTGATCCTGAGCTGCAAACCCGAAGACGTTTCTCCCAAAATCAAGAAGCATGTAGGTCAGGTTAGATTCAGACTAATCATTCAGTCTCGCTGGTTTGCAGGCGGCAGCTTAGACACTGAATGAGTCCGCGAGCTTCTTGATCTCATTTCAGAGGAAAAACTGGTTTTACAGGCTTCTTGTTCCAACATTAAAGAGGTCATATTATTCTCTTATTGTTTTTAGCTCCCGAGTGAAGCATCTCACTTCTATAAGATCTTTGTTGGGAGCTGCACATGTGCAGTACCTATAAGAACTACCAGCCAATCAGAAGCAGAGTAGGGCGGCTCCTGACATGCAGGTAAACAGGGCTTCGGTTCAGCTGTACATGTTTGGGTGGTGAGTTACTAATCTGTAACACAGATTTCATAGTGTTTTCCCTGAGCTCTGTCTCTACATCAGCTTCATGTCCTCGGACTGCCTGGAGGCGCTCTAACGTTGTTAGCCACACTAGCCGCTAGGTGAGCATCATGCTGCGTGTTACAGAAATAAAGGCCGGACTACAATCCAGCTGTGTTCAGTTCAGGAGCAGAGTTTTCTGTGGGAGATGGGAACTCCCTTTGAGCTTTTTCACTTTGCAAACCTGTTGCATGCACAAAAAAGATTTATAACCCACTAAAGGAGAGGGGAAAATGCAGAATATGACCTCTAAAGCTTATAGTTAGGGATGGCTCAGGTGAGTCCTGAACCATCCCTTAGTTATGCTGCTATAGGCCTAGACTGCCGGGGGATTTCCCATGATGCACTGAGCTCCTCTCTCCTCTACTTTCTCTCCCTCTGTATGCAACCTTATCCCATTATTGCATGTTACTAACACAACTTCTCCCCTTTCTGGTAGTCTTGTGCTTTCTCGTCTCTCTCCTGTCGTGGTGGTGTCCAGCAAACGATGTGGGCTTTGTAGATCATTGGCAGACTTTCTGGGGAAGACCTGGTCTGATCCGGAGAGACGGCATCCATCCCACTTGGGAAGGAGCAGCTCTCATTTCTAGAAATCTGGCCAAGTTTATTAGTGGACCAAATCCATGACAACCCAGAGTTGAGACCAGGAGGCAGAGTCGCAGTCTAACACACTTCTCTGCTCCTCCATTTCAGGAGTTACTTAGTGAAAACCCTGTCTGCCCCCCGACCATTGAAATTATTTAAAAAGGTAAACAGAAGAGGAGCTGTGCATAAAAACCTCATAAAAATTAAAACCACAAGAGCAATAGTGCAAACGAATAGGAGAGTTAAATGTGGACTCTTAAACATCAGATCTCTCTCTTCTAAAGGTGTACTAGTAAATGAACTAATATCAGATTATGATATTGATTTATTTGGTCTTACTGAAACCTGGCTGGGTGATGGAGAATATGTTAGCCTAAATGAATCCACCCCTCCCAGTCATATTAATACTCACATTCCTCGAGGCACAGGCCGAGGAGGTGGAGTTGCAGCTATCTTCGACTCTAGCCTACTAATCAGCTCTAAACCTAAACTAAACTATAACTCATTTGAAAGTCTTGTTCTTAGTCTTTCGCACCCAAGTTGGAAATCACTGCAACCAATTCTTTTTGTTATAGTGTACCGAGCACCTGGTCCGTACTCTGAATTCTTATCTGAATTTGCAGAGTTTTTGTCAACTTTAGTCCTTAAAACGGACAAAGTTATTATTGTAGGGGATTTTAATATTCATGTGGATGTTGAGAATGACAGCTTCAGTACTGCGTTTATCTCTTTGTTAGATTCCATTGGCTTCTCTCAGAGTGTTCATGAACCGACTCACTGTTTTAACCACACCCTCGACCTTGTTTTGGTGTATGGTATTGAAATTGAACATTTAATAGTTTTCCCACAGAATCCCTCTTTATCCGACCACTGTTTGATAACTTTTGAGTTTGTATTGCTGAACTACACGCCATTGGGCAAAAATTTCTATACAAGATGTCTGTCTGGTTTCTTTTCAGCACTGTAGCCAGGCTGACAGAGAGTCACAGCTCTATTGAGCCAAGTATTCCCATAGCTCTCAGTAGTTACGATTTCATGAGCTTCTTTAATGATAAAATTCTAGCTATTAGAGACAAAATTCACCAAGACCTGCCCTCAACTGGCACCAACTTATCTCTAAACTCAGGAACCTTAGAAACAGCTGTAGAACCAGATACATGTTTAGACTGTTTTGCTTCCCTCAATCTTTACCAACTAACTTCAATAATTTCTTCATCTAAACCATCAACCTGCCTCTTAGACCCCATCCCGACTAGGCTGCTTAAAGATGTTCTACCCTTAGTCAGCACCTCTATACTAGATATGATCAATCTATCTTTATCAACAGGCTATGTACCACAGTACTTTAAAGTAGCTGTAATTAAACCTCTTCTGAAAAAGCCCAAA